AGTAAAGTTTAAATTATTTAAATAATAAATATTTTTAATTTAAATTTTATTTAAGAATAGTAATTAATTTTTTTATTTTAAAAGAGATAAATATTTTTATTTTAACATTATGATTATTTTTAAATTTAATTATTTGTTTTTTAATTAAAATAATTTTTGTTTGTATTTATTTTTAAAGATAAAATAAATAAAAATAAAATTTATTTGTAACTTTGTATTTAAGCTGAGGAGAATAGAACCAAGGGGAGGGGAATAAAAGGGAATGAGAGAAAAAATTTCACTCGTCTTCCTTTCCCTTGTAAATTTTTTATAATCAAATAAAATTTTTTTTTCTTCTCTCCCCTCTATTTAAACATATTATAAATTTTTAATCTAAAAATAAAATAAAATAAAATAACATCTCTTACGCTAATACGAAAAGAGTACAATTTAAATGGTACTTTTTTTATTTTAAATTTAAAAATATTTTATAATTTAAATTACATAATATAAATAAACTATTAAATGAAAGTCGACAACTGATATTGGAGAGTTCCTTTCCATCTAATTTTTAATTTAATATTTAAACATTACATTTAAAAAATATTTTAATTCAGATAAAACAAAAAACATAACTAAAAATGGCAGACAATTATAAACGGTTCCCAATTTTCGTCCCGTGTCACGTACCCCTCACACCATTATTCACGACACATATAGCGCCGAATAGAATATATTTTCCTTTTGTATATTCGTTGATGAAGTCTTTGTTAATTTTTGTGTATTTTAAAGTTAATTTTTTTTTAAAAATGTATCTAATATTGGTTTAATACATTTACTGTATTTGGTTTAAATGAAAATAAAATTTATTTTATTTACTAAAATAAATTAAATATGGAATTTATTTGCAAATCCCATCAATTTTGACAAAATTTAGTTTAATTTATCTCAATTTCATGATTTGTAATTTTAGAATCTAATTGTGTAGTTTTAAATTAAACCAAATTAAACATCAAGACTTCAAACGAATTCCACAAAAATTTAATCAAAACAAACACAAATATATAGAATTAAAATTCTGAGGTTAAAATGATTTTTTTATTAAACTAAACATGATAGATATAAAATTAAAAATAAATTTTACAATTAAAAATATCATTCATCGTTATAAAGTTAAAATTTAAGTTAGAAGTATCACATTTATACGAGATAATATAACAAATCACAAATATATCTTAAATAATTGAAAACGTGAAAACACGAAAAGAAAAAGTAGAAATAATTAAGAGCTAATAACATCCAATAATATATTGAACAACAACTGTGATTGTTGTACACAAAGTACACATATACAAAGTACACATATACAAATTAAACCATAACAATACAAGCAAAGTATAACAATACAGGGGCCATATTTTAAAGATATTTATAAAGCTCGCCTGAAAATTTCTAACCGTAAATTATAAAGATGTTTACACCAAATCAAGATAATCAAAAGTTAGGGGCTTAAACACATCGGCGGCCTCAGTCTCAATGAACTCCACCTGTCTCTCCGGGAGGTGCACATACACCACCCAGTCGCCATTCTTGATCGGACTTAGCATCGGCATCACGTATCCGGTACTCCCTCCCCATGGAAAGTGGTATGACCCGAACGTTGGCGGGCCCCACCCGAAATCCACCTTCGAAACAGGGAAGCGTTGTCCGGAGGAGACGACGAACGCGGGTCCCTCGTTGCTCCCACTTGCATAAATCTTCGCCACAGCCTGCTCCGGCCGGTGTGCCTCAACCCAATCAATCAGGCCTAAGAAATGCTCCTTGGTTACTGCACTTTTGATAAAATCATGGACCTCCTCTGCCACCCAAGACAGAGGCTTTTCAATCAGTGCCTTCACTTTCTCGCTGCCGAAGGGAATTGAAAGGACGTTTCCAAAATATGTACCCATTTGTGATTCTTTATCGGTACATCCTTCACTTAATCTAGTCCTCCCATCCACTACTATCCCCATCTTAGACGTCTTGGCGGTATCTCCTGCGGCCGAAATCGCCACCATTTTCCATAAGAAGGCACTGAAAGACTCAAGCTTGGTCCTTTTGGACCCACCGCGGCTCGCTAGACATTGAAGCTCGTCGAGTTGGTCCGCAGTGACATAATATATGCGACTGATAAGATGATCATCAGATGGTTGATTGTTTTCCTTTGGCGGTGGCAATGTGGAAATAGGCACGTACAAATCGTCCAGGGAGGCATCTATGCACCCTGGATGCCTGGGGTTCAGCATAGATCGCCGGAAGGATGGCAGCAGAGATATCGGCTTGGACTGAGCCATTTCTGCCCATGAAACAAGAAACATGTTGGCGGAATAGGCATCAGCAATACGGTGATCAAAAGTGCACGCCACCACTAGTCCGCCGCATTTAAGCTCCGTTGCCTAAAATCATTTGCTTCCAAAAATTAGTACATCAGAAAAGAAAAAAAAATAGAAAAATACACGAGAGACAACAGAGAAGAGATAGGCGCCACAGGGGCTCCTCCTATAAAAAGAAAAGAAAAACTAAAAAAGCAAAAGCTAAAAAAAAAAAAAAAAAGAAGGGCAAAAAAAAAAAAAAAAATTTTTAATTTAAAAATTAAAATCCAAACAAAACGGAAAAAAAAAGTGGTAAAAGAAAAAGAACCTAAAAACAAGCCAAAAAATAAGGTGGGGTAAAAAACAAATAAATAAAATAAAAAGGGAATTGAGTTAAATTTCAACTGCCATGTGCGCCGCAAATTACCACAAGAGGGTTGAAGTGCGGCTATATTTTTATAATTTCCCAGAATGGACAAAAGAGGCCATAAAGTTTTCTTTTTAATAAACAAAATGTTTGTAAATTTAATTTCTGATGTTCTAATGGTTAAGAGCTGGGCTCTATGTAAGTGATGCCCGATCATCTTTAGTTCTAACTTTGAAACGATTAACGATCGGGAAGGAGGTTTAGGAAAAGGGTTAGCTTCTCCATGTTTGTTTAGTCCAAATTTGAGCTAGACCCTGTTTTCAACCCAACTTCTATTTTTCCAAACCAGAAACTCTCCATATTTGTGCCTTTTTCTGGAATTAAAATACAATCGAAATATTGCTGAAATACATGGTGTAGAGGATGATTATTTTTTACCTGAACTGCAAGCACTCCGTGCTTCTTTTTTGGTACTAACTTGCCTTCAATGCTCTCATCAGGATTATAGAGGTTGAGGTTTTGAAGTTCAACATCTGCATAGGCCTCGAAGAAATCCACCCCTCTGTTGTTACAGAGAAGCTCAGGTTCACCGATGGAGTTGGGTACAACCTCACCGGCAAAAGCATAGTAGGAGACCAGAGCCTGGGCCATGGCCTTCTTGAGGATACCAACCATGGAACCAAAACACAGGGTATCCCCTGAAACTGGGTTCTTGTAACAGAAGAAAACACCCACGTCGAGCGGTGGCAGAAGCAGGTCGAGGTTGGAGAGCGGCAGCCAATGCTCTTGCAATGGCAACACCGCCGCCACAACGTCCTTCTTGCCCACCGTCACCGTGAAATCTCCTCCTACAATCATATTCCTCGGCTGTGTTGTGTTTTCTCTGCAATTGGGTGGGAAATTGATGTAGAGAATTGTGGGTCTGCACTAAAGCAAGGGGTTAATTTATAGACGGGTAGAATTTAATAATGTGAACGGGTGGTTATCGAGACACGAATTTTTGTCAAGTTCACATTACTTTTTCCGGTTAGAATATTAGTATTTAGATTAAAATATTGTGTTTACATTGTAATTGATTATATATAGTTAAATTAATTGAGTTTTATACTTAGAAATATTTTATTTATATATCTATATATATAAGACATTTGTATATACAATAAAGACAAAAAAACCTTTCTTCATATTTTTTTCTATTTATTTTCTCACATGATATCGAGTTCATTTAAACTTAAACCTATAGATGATTCTTCACTTTCTGATCCTTTTGATCTTACTCATTAT